CGCGACACCAGGGTAAACTGGTTTTGTATAGATTGATGTGTGGCCTTGTGTACCTATGTTATATTTTTTTTATGTGATAAGCCAGTAAACCAGCAGACGGATCACCTGATGGTAAGCAATCGGCGTTGCCCATGGACAACTGGAACACCATAGGCGTTACAAGTGCGTTACCGGCCTTTTGGGGATTAGGAGTTTGAGGATTGTTGGGGATTCATGGATTGTGTTGAAGGGAAGGGGGAGCGGTAATTGGGACTCCGGTAATCTCACTCACATGACGAAACACAACGCAAGCGTTGTTTCACGTCGGTTTTCTGCTCGGCCGTGGTATCACTCCGGTCGAGCCGGCCCATTCGTGCCGAAGCATGACTCTCCCACACATAAAACCGTATTGTATTATTCTCTTTTACATAGTCAAATTCATTGAATGCTTTTGCACCCACTGATTAAATGTCTGCATCACCCAAGGGGATTCAGATTCTTTGGGGGAGGCCAATGTTCAGCAGTGGACGTCTTGTGGCTGAATTGATGATGATGATGATGATCACCCAAGGGTCAGACTGAAGAAAATGTCTGCGACATTAAGTCCGCCCATAATTATCCTTGTCTGTGTGCATGAAGTTTTTTAGATTTTTAGGTATCGGTTTCGATTTCCAGGTCGGGTAAAGTATTACTGGATTTAAAAAAAAACTCAGCCTTAGCACGGGAGACTGGAATTGCGCCCGGTATATGGCACTAGACTCACCCCCTATTACATGGGACTAATAACATAAATAGTGAAAAGTGGGTGTTACATTGTACAGTGGTATTAAGTGCCGTAATGTGCAACTCTGCCTACCACTTCGGGGATAAAAGGCGTGATGTTATGTTATGCAGATTTTTAACTGCTTCATCGGTAGCTGGTAACCGCTCTCCATTAACTCCATTATAGACCTTATTTTCGATGTTTAGAGACTACTTTTATATGGAGGAGGGAAGTAGCTGTCTCTACTTACTTATTTAAAGTGCTTCGCGGCAAAATATATAACCCGAGGGTTTTGGAGCTGATACAGTTATGTGTACCGGATGCATACGCGGCGCGCCGGCGCAAGCCAGCGCTGCTGGCGATACCACGCGCACGCACCAACCTCCTACAGCGCGCGCCCCTGACGCGGGCGCTGCGGACGCTCAATGTGATGTCGGAATACATTGACTTATTTTATTGTACACTGAACGAATTCAGAAGAGCCTGTTACTGTACCTGTACCCATCTGTGACTTAGCTTAAGGAATATGTTTGTTACCATAGTTATAATGTTGTAGTACCTGATTGTAAAATAGACTTGGAATTTAATTCTATTAATATTGGCATACATTATTGCATTAGGTATTAGTTCCTGTGATAATAGTAGTATGTATATAGTTTATAAATAAATAAATAAATATGAACAAATTTAGGGTACGATATTTCAACAGGTTAAATAAATATGTGTATACGTGCAATCACTGTGATTGGCAGTTTGTATAGACGTGCTTAATTATTAGTTATACTTGTTTTTTCCTTATAAAACTTGTTATCATATATCAAATGGTTTATCCCAACTTGAATAATAAAAGAATGCTATATTCATTTTAAGTAAGTACTTATTAATTGTTTACAAAGCGTAAACCGCATGAGGTGCTTGCCTTTTTTATGAGGGGGGGAAATCGGTTAAGTTCTCCGCGGCTCCAAATTGGCACCAAGGCGCTTACTCTTGAATCCAATTCCGATCGATCGACATTGGTCTTGTGAAATTTCGTACTCTTGAGTTGCAACACTAGCGCCCATTGCATCCGTATTGCATGGATATTGAATGAACTAAATGGTTTTGAGTTTGGCTTTATATTCCGTACTCTGAATGCTATTTTAACAGCTACGATTGTGGTTGTATAGTGATAATTATCGGCACGCGTCGCACCGTACGCTCGGGTCTGGTTCTGGGTCTTACTCTTGAAACCAATCTCAATGTCAATGCAATTTCAATCCAATATAAAAATCTCAATAATTATTCAATGTCAAATCTATACAACCACAATCGTAGCTGAATAGCATTCAGAGTACGGAATATAAAGTCAAATTCAATACCATTTAGTTCATTCAATATCCACGCAATACGGATGCAATGGGCGCTAGTGTTGCAACTCGAGAGTACGAAATTTAACAATGTCAATGTCGATCGATCGGAATTGGATTCAAGAGTACGCCCCCTGATCGCCCCCTTAGGCCCGTGCTTATGGTAGCCGGAGATCGTCTCGTGATCCCCAACGCCCGGAGCATCTAGCGCGACGTATGGGGCGTGAGAAGGTTCGTTGACCGTTCGACCGTGAGTCACTGCAGGGTGCCACCTGAAAACCAGCGTTGGGCAGGAACGCTCAACTATATGCTGAGGTGGTCGCCCTTTTGGCCTGAGCACGCGCACTTTATTATTTTTATATCTCTTTCCTTGTTTTATATATATATATAATTATACTTTTTTTTGTTTTTAGTTTTTTTTAGTTTCGGTTATTATTCTAATTATATTTTGTTATGTTTTAATGATTTTTGTTCATTTCTTTTCTCTTTGATAAAATCTATATTATTAATGTTTTGTTTTTATTTTCACTGTATTTTTTGTTTGTATTGTAATTAGGGTTGCCAACCGTACTTTATAATAAAGTATTGTACGTTATTTAAGGTACAATTGTACTCTATACTTTATAAGAATAATAAAGTACACAAAAATACTTTATTTTTGCAAACTTTATTTCTATTAAAGTCGTAATTATTTTTCAGTAAACTTATCGATTCGATATCGATATTTATCGATTTATGTTGAATCGATAACTTGCCAGCGCCACTTAGACAATTTCTAGTAAAGATGCAATTGTCTAGTATTTCAATGCAATTGTTTAGTAAAGGTACTAATTTAATACAAACTGCAAAAAGCAATAAAAATATATTTTTAAATAGAATACTAAATAAGAATAATTTGTACTTTATTTTTGTATTGTGTACTTGTTTTTTCTTACCTATAATCGTCAGTGTACTTTAAATACAAAAGAAAAAGGTGGCAACTCTAATTGTAATGATCCTTGTCTTCGTGTGCCAATGGCCAAATAAATGTATTTTCTTTCTTCTTTCTTTCTTTCTTTCCCTCACGCGCTTCGCCTCCTCCTATCCTTAGCAAGCATGACTGCTTCGCAGAAGGAGGAGACGGTATCCCAGTCCCCCTCGCTCCGTACGGTCTGAACCAGAGCCGGACGCGAGAGGTCGCCTTCGCCAATCCTAACAATAACATCTATGTCTACTTTTTTCATTGTATGCCAAACCATCTAACCAGTTTATCAAAGTCCCTCTTTGTATCATCATTCCGCTTATGCCACGGTCACTTTATACTGGTTTCTATAGCCGTGAGGTTTTTTATTAACATTGACCTCCGGTCATAAGTCAGTGGTAACCGGTTTTGTTAATTCTATACATATTATTAGATAATTATGTATAGAAATCTTAAGGTTAGAGTACATAGGAAGATAGTTGCGGGATGCGATATTTTGTCTACAAAACCTACTAATCTTTACTAATATTATAAATCGGAAAGTGGGTTTGTTTGTTTGTTCCGCTTTCACGCCGTAACTACTTAACCGATTGTTTTGAATTTTTGTAGAAGATAAGTTAGAAGTCCGGATTAAATAATAGAGTACTTTTTATCCCGGAAAAATTTGATAATCCCGAAGGAAAACAAAAGTATTAGTATAGATGGCGCTATGTGTAATGGTATATGTATGTCACATAGGCTACTTTTCATTCTTTTGTGACGCGAGCGAAGCCGCGGGTAAAAGCTAGTCTCTTCATAATTTCGTCAAGGGGTACGGTAGACTCGATCAAAACATTACCTGAATAAGTACATAAAAAAATATCGATTTCGAGTCGACAACATACCTATATCCGCAAAATTCGGATTACGGAGATTATTTCGTTTTATTAATTCATTTTAATGACACTGACAGACAAACCGCTGTCGCCATCTTGAGTAGACAATAAACGTCCCGTTTCATACTAGCTCTCAAATACGCCTCGCCAATCAACACGTTGTCGCGTCAAAAAAGTATAAATTAACAAGAAATATGAATAATTTCACGCGAACGAAGTCGCGGGTAATAGCTAGTATCTATTATAAATGCGAAAGTTAATGAGTTTTTGTGCATGTATGTAGGGCTCGTACACAAAACTGCGATGCGATGCGACGCAACGCAGAAAATTACGACACGAATTGCTGCGATGCGATTTCGTGCGACAAGGCCTCTCCCAGGGTAACCGCACCTGTCAACCGTACGTAAACGTATTTAAAATTGAAAACTATAATCAGAATTTTAATTCGATTCTAGATTTGACATTAGCTACTGTCATTTTGTAAAATAATCATACCACATATTATAATAGTGTAGTGATGAACACAAAAATCGATAAACAATCAGTGTGTGTGTTTTATAACAAATGTTACAGAAAGTGACAGGATAGCGATAGCGATGACGGCGACAATTTACAGAATAACTTATTATCATAATACATCTATCTGTTTTATTTGTCATGTTCCTTAATGATCACATTTTTTTATTTATTTCACACACAATTATAAAAGAAAAGTCTCAGATCGTTAATTAATCGTCAAAACTAGATAATCGGTTCAGAAATATTTAATTTCCTAGGAATGATGTATTTGAGATACATCATTAAAATATGTACAGAATTTTATAGGTCGTGAAAGAAGTGTGCCCTTCTGTTATTGCTTGAGAGATACAGGAAAAAGAAACTAAGAAGATTTTGGGATGATAAGATTTAAATGCGCGATGCAAATCATTGCGATGCGTAGAGGGAGCTCGCACATTTTTGCGCCTTTTACTATCGCCTAGCTTTGTAGTAGGATCGTAACCTAACCTCACATTACATTGAAATTTAATCTAGGAGCGTCGTAATCAATATATCATCTTCTATAGACTATACACGTCTTGATCCATCGACTTATTTAAATTCATTTCAACACAAATATGTTAGGTAGTGAAAAATGCAGTGTTTTGTGTTTTTATTTTATGTTTATTTTATTGTCCATCAATGCTTTTGTAATGAGAACAATTATAGCAACGTAAATCATAATCATGATGCTCAAATTGGTATGTTTATTTTTTTATTTAAGTTCTAGTTTCGGATTTGCCCGCGTCGTCTGTTATTTCAGACTATAACCTACTCTTTTTCCAAATAGCATGTGAATTCCTTCAGCCGTTTCCACGTTATTGAGTAATATACAAACTGACAAACAATATTAGATTGAAGTAAGATAAGCCCAGATTTCCTTAAGATGTTTTCCTTCATCGTTTGTCAGTGGTGTTTAAATAATCTTAGAAAGTACATATAATGCGACTGCCTCGTTGGCCGAGTGGTTAGTGCGACTGCCAGGCAAGGGGTCTCGGGTTCGATTCCCGGGTCGGGCAAAGTATTAATGAGCTGTTTAAAAAAATCTCAGTCGTAGTCTGGAATTGAGCCCAGTTGCTTTCAGGTAAAGGCTTTAAAACAAGCCTGGGTCATTTTTCCTCAATTAATAGAATGCAAGAACAATTTAGTCGCCTGTCATGCTCACTTAGTGCATGTCCTATTCTGTTTTCAAAGTGAAAATTGTCCTGCGTAGGACATTCTCACAGAGTTAAACTGCACTATATATACTACATATTCAAATCAAAATCAAAATATCTAGCTTGATTGGTAGAATAGAGAGCTTATTGAAACTGTTTAACAAAAACAATATTTTTATGCATTATTTGTTCTAGGTTCCAATTGCGCGTGGAATGGACTAAATGGTACATGTACCCGTTTGATAGATTGTCCATCAGCGCAGGATGCCATTAATAATAGACGTTACCCATCAGTAAGTTCAATGTATTATTATATTATAATTATATATTCAGTGAGCTGCGCGACGTCGCCGCGACCGCGCACGCTGCTCATGAGGAAGAACCCCTCTGTGGTTCGAAACTAGTAGAGCTTTTCTCAGTATATTCACGTGAGTAACCTGCGAATTTAGTTAATTTTGTAAAGAAATTAATAAAATAATGTGTTTTCAGATATGTTCCTTCGAAGGAGTAACGCCTATAGTATGCTGCACCGTTCCAGAATCTGCACAAAATAATAGGTAATTTCATTTCGTACACACTGACATACATACTTATATTTTGTTTAAGAGGGGAAAATCATCAAATGACTGCTCCCGCCCGGGTGAGGCGGGAGGGAGTATAAGAATAAGAATAAGAATAAGAATAAGAATTTTATTTGCTCAAACATGTGTGTGCATACAGAATTAAACTGTCAAACACCAACCGGTCACCGGTGACCGCAACCTATTGTTCTATAATTGTGTCTACAAAACCGGTACTCGACGAGTTAAAATAATACAGCATGCAAGATCTTAGAGAAAAGTGGCTTACGACATGTCTGCCATTTATCATGGCGTGCAAATATCTATTATATAAAATTTTTTTTTTGAATTGATGACTGTGAATTTACATTAATTTTAAAATTTACACTTACCTATACCTACATTAAAAATCTGCAGTATCATTATACATTATTAATTAATTTGTTCATATTCAATTAATATTTACTAAAAATGATTTAAACTGTCAAACACCAAGCGGTCACCGGTGACCGCAACCTATTGTTCTATAATTGTGTCTACAAAACCGGTACTCGACGAGTTAATTATTATTATACAAATTATATATTTTACTTATTATTTAATAACATTCAATTGTAATAATATTAACAATATGTTTCTTTGTGTCAGACTCTTACTGACTAAAAACCACCCCGTTCCTACACCTGTGCACTTCGAGCCGGAGCCCCGGCAACCCGTTAAGTCCCTCGTGGCTTGGTATCGGTATCAGCTCCAAGTATACATACATGGACACCAGTAGCGTAGCGAGCCTTAGTGGGGCCCCGTATAAAAAATTGTTTTCATATGGGAAAAAACGTGTAAAACACATTTGTGTGAAAATTGAAAAGCTTTCCAGGGAACTCCCTCTGCCCAATTATCGAGCTGTGATTACTTTAGTTTTTTTTAAGTATCTGCCAATCTTTGAATGCATGTTTTACTATATAATAAACTAGCTTTTACCCGCGGCTTCGCTCGCGTCACAAAAGGATAAAAAGTAGCCTATGTATGTGACATATACGAATACACACAGCGCCATCTATACCAATACTTTTGTTTTCCCTCAGGAATATCAAATTTTTCCGGGATAAAAAGTACCCTATTATTTAATTCGGACTTCTAACTTTACGTCTGCAAAAATTCAAAGCAATCGGTTTAGTAGTTACGGCGTGAAAGCGGAACAAACAAACAAACTCACTTTCCCATTTATAATAGTAAGGATTACCATCAGCATTAAGAATGTTACCAATTAATAAATTCAAATGTAAAATGTTTACTTGGCTATTGGACATGTATTTTTATTCCGTTAATTAATTTTTAAATCACCCTTCTTGACACTGTAATTTATGTTTAATGCTAATGGAAATATTGACATTATGATTAAGTAATATTTTTGACACTGGAATCAGTAACTATGACATATATATCTATATAATTTTGTATTTTTTTGTGTATTATTTGTACCTACTTATTTTTGACATAATAATAATTTGGACAAAACATGAAGGTATTCTTTTTCAATGAATTTAGATTAATTAAGATAATTGTATTAAATGAGAATTAAGATTTGCATGGACTTAACTTGTTTAAAATTTCTACACCAGAAATGGTAGTATATGTGATTCCATATTCAGTTTAAGATCTCAGTGTATCATATACTTACTTAGAAATAAACATATCTTTATCTTTATCTCTATCTTATCTTACTCGGGAAAAAAATCTTTTACTTTGACGTTTGTGATTACTAAAATACTTAAAATACAAATGGGATAGTTTTTTAATATTTTTTGCTTACGTCCTTTGGGGGCCCTCGACGTGCGGGGGGGCCCGGTATAATTGATACGGCAGATATGGCGCTAGCTACGCCCCTGAATGACACTTGTTCGTTGATGAATGTATGCTAAAGATAATTATATTTTTTTCAGTAACTCTTCGTACATCCCCGATCGAAGTTCAGAACATAAAAGAAGAAAATCGGAGGAACGTAAGTTTTTTTCCTTTAATGCATCATCATCATCATCAGCCTATAAGTGTCTACGGCTAACCAAAGGCCTCTTCTCACACGGAGAAGGTTTGAGCATTAAACTGTCAAACACCAAGCGGTCACTGGTGACCGCAACCTATTGTTCTATAATTGTGTCTATACTGACGGTACTCGACGAGTTAATCACCACGCTTGCTCAATGCGGGATGACGATTACAAAATTATAATTATAATTATAACTTTCGCGAGACATACTAAATTAATTATTATGTTTTTCGACTTACTCACATAATTATTTGACGAGGAACTCGACTAGTTTCAAGCCATGCTAGAGGCTTATATTCATGAGCATCATTCCGTCAGGCAGGCAGTCGCCGCGGCGCGGGAATAACATAATAATTAACATAACATAACATCACGCCTTTTATCCCCGAAGGAGTAGGCAGAGGTGCACATTACGGCACTTAATGGCACTGTACAATGTAATAGGGAGTAACACCCACTTTTTACTATTTATGTTACGAGTCCCATGTAATAGGGGGTGAGCCTACTGCCATATACCGGGCACAATTCCAGACTCCGTGCTACTACTGAGATTTTTTTTAAAAACCCAGTACTAGTTTGCAGTAATAATCGAACCCGAGACCCATGCCCGGCAGTCGCACTTGCGACCGTTCGGCCAACGAGGCAATATTGTCTAAATTAGTACGCTATTTATAGTTAATTCAACATATCCTACAATAATTATTATAAAAATATGTTTCAGAATGTATGGAATATATAAGAACTTTATCGTATACCTGCTCAGACCCTTCTGACTACTTTCGATATAGTAGCTACAATGCATTAGACGTGGCGACACCATTTGAATCACCCGGTACGGAATCGTCGACAGTATCCGGGTCTGACGGATCCACAGAATATTATACACAGGTATTTTTTATCAAACTACTATCAAATCTTATAAAAGAGAGTTTTTTTTTGAAGAGGCCAAATCATTTTAGCTGTAGGAGAGCCATGCTTCGGCACGAGTGGGCCGACTCGACCGGAGTGATACCACGGCCGAGCAGAATACCGACGTGGAACAACACTTTCGTTGTGTTTCGTCGTATGAGTGAAGTTATCGGAGGCCCAATCACCCTATCCCTGAATCCCCAACAATCCTCAAATTCCTAATCCCGGAAAACCGGTAACGTACTTGTAACACCTCTGGTGTTCTAGGTGATTATTAGCTGATCCGTCTGATCGTTTTCCAGCTTAACCCATAAAAAAAATCCAATGACTTCTCCCACCTGGGGCAAAAGAGTGTAAGACTCTTACTGACTAAAAACACCGCGTTCCTACTCCTGCTTTAAAAGGGAGCCCTGATAACCGCAGGCTAGATAGCCTGCGGTTATCAGAGCGGAATTGCAACTCCATCCCATTCCTATCTAAAAGGTCGGAACGCATTTGTGACTTCTATGGTGTTGAGGATGCCCATAGGCAGCGTTCATCGGTTACCATCAGCGACCAGGTGATTCGTCAGCTCATTTGTCTCCTATTCCAGCTCCTAAAATAGTTTGTATTTTTCTACTTACTGCTGGTAGCAATAATGCTTATGGTTTGCCTGATTGTAAGCGGATACCGTAATCCAAGTACACCTGCATCTCCAGAGGCAACACGAGTCGCGACCACGGCTCGACGCAAGACTAGGAACAGTAAGAATCTGAGTTTATCTCGCCTCACCCAAGCCGTGAGAAGTCATTTGAAACAAGCTGATTAAATACATATACCTGATTTTTACAATAATTATCGTGAGACATACTAAATTAAGTAAAAACGCGGGTTACTCACGTGAATATACTGAGAAAAGCGCGACAACGCCGCGACCGCGCACGCTGCTCATGAGGAAGAACCCCTCTGTGGTTCGAAACTAGTAGAGCTTTTCTCAGTATAGTCACGTGAGTAACCCGCGATTTTTACTTAAACTGTCAAACACCAAGCGGTCACCGGTGACCGCAACCTATTGTTCTTTAATTGTGTCTATAATAACGGTGCTCGACGAGTTAATATACCTAATAAAAAAAAATAATAATAATAAAAATAAATGATTGATGCCTTATGATTTTTTTTTTAAGGTGTAAATATTTTAGTTTTAAATTATTTTTTTTATATTTTAAGTTGTATATACCTAATTTGTTTTAGAATATACCTGTAATACCACCCGGCTTCTCTTCTGCTCCTCCATACGTCGAAATCCCACATCATCAGGTGAGTTCCTTCTGCCTGGCTTTTTGGTCTTCCCTATTCCATGCTGGTCTGATGGTCGTAAGTGCGACTGTTGAAAGAGCCGAGCTAGAAGGTGCCTAATCGATGCCCTGGTTATGCAATGCACCTTTTGGGTAGTTTTAGAGTTAGCGCGTTCATACATACATACACTCTTCAGCTTTATATTATATAAAAAATATAACATAATATAAAAAGCAGGCAAGCAATCCGTATAAATGGGTTTTAAAAAAAAATCTCAATAGTAGCACGGAGTCTGGAATTGTGCTCGGTATATGGCAATACGCTCACCCCCTATGACATGGGACTCATAACATAAATAGTGAAAAGTGGGTGTTACACTGTACAGTGGCATTAACTGCCGTAATTTGCACCTCTGCTTACCCCTTCGGGGATAAAAGGCGTAATGTTATGTTATCCGCGCGCGCCTCAAAGAGCCATCAGACCACCACAGATGGGGCCCAATAGGGCCGATGCCGATTCGGAGTCGCGGAGAACCTAACGGGTAACCGGGGCTCCAGCTCGACGTGCAGGAGAAGGAACGGGGTGGTTTTTAGTCAGTAAGAGTCTGACACTCCCTCCC